ACAATCAACCCTTCCTACCTGGCCCTGGGGTCATGTGGATTGAGGCAGAAGCTCCACACTGACATTTCACCTCCTGGGGTCAAGGGTGGTCGGTGGGAGGGGAGGGGAGAGGTAAGGGCTCTGGCCGGAAAGACAAGGCTGTCAGGTTCTAAGAGGCACCGCTCTTTCTGACATTTTTCATTTCAGGAAGTAGATTTACTAAAATGCTGCCAAGAACAGATGAGAAAATTAGCTCAAAGAATTGACATGCAGATGCGGTAAGGGCTTTTTTTTTTCCTTCTCTTCCCTCTCCTTGGGATTTGTTTTGGGACTCCCAGGTTTCTGGGGGACAAGCCAGACGGGCCCACTTTTGGTCAGTGGTGTACTGGTAAATGTTTAACAACCAGCTTTCTAGGAAAAAGGGGTCCTGATCTCTCAGGCCTGCCAGTTTCTGTGGTGTAAATGCTACCACAATGGCTGATTTTCAGCTGCGAATATGAAGTTACTGAGATATGCACAATTGGCTCTCACAAGCCTGTGCCTCACTGCCTTCTTTGCAACCAGAGTCCTGGCAAGAGACACCTGGCTTCCCTGAGGCCCCTCTTAGCCTGTGGCTTCCCCATTTGAGTTCTCTGAGCCTTGGGAGATGGCAGAGGGTGGGTGGTATTAGGTAGCAAGTCCAGGGGCTGGGCACCTCCACAAGGGAGCTGGTGGAGACACCGAGCCAGGAGTCTTCAAAAGAAACCAGCTTTTTGTTCTTACAAGATTATGTAACCAGTATCTTAACAAGCCCGGGGACCCCTCTCACAATTAAAGGGAGGCTTGAGTTTTATGGGGCTTGGGGCCCATAGCTAAGCCCTTGGCACCAGTTCCCTGTGGAAGCAGCCGCCTCACCTCCGCCTGCAGCTGGCACTCATCTTTAACTCTTTCAGGGCACGCTGCTCTGCTGGTTTTCCCACTTCATTCACTCTTGACACAGACACACAGACAGCATGGGACAGGCTGGCAACCAGGCAGTGACTTGTTCCTCCGGCTGCCTGGTGCACATGGGCAGCAGGGGGTGGAGGCAGAGGGGCCAGGCAGCTTCCAAGTCAGCTCTGGGAGCATACGTCTTGGTTGGCTGTGCCCCAGAAGTCATCTCCTCCTCCAGGAGCCTTTGGACCCCCCAAAGGGGTTAGAGCTGTATGTTAGGGAGAAAGACATTGCAGACAAGCTACCCTTAGAGCAAAGAGCTTGGTCACAGCCAGACACATTGGAGAGCCCCAGGAGGACATCGGGGTGGAGGTGTGCAGAGAAGATGCGGATACAGCAGGAGAAGTGAAGGCTGAAAGGACAAACACAGAGTTGAAGTTCAATAATTTGTGTGCCCCTGGACTAATTTCTCACAATTCCCCTTATCACCGGGACTATGGTACCTACAGTTTGTCTACAAATTAATTCGCTTAAAAAAACCTTAAGCACAACATGATAACTAAAAGAGTACAGGGAGCCAGGTGCAGTGGCTCACACTTGTAATCCCAGCTGAGATGGATGGCTCACAAGGTCAAGAGATCAAGACCAGCCTGGCCAAGATGGTGAAACCCTGCCTCTATTAAAGAAACAAAAATTAGCCAGGCGTGGTGGCAAATGCTTGTAATCCCAGCTATTTGGGAGGCTGAGGCAGAGAATTGTTTGAACCAAAAAGGTGGAGGTCGCAGTGAGCTAAGATCATGTCACTGTACTCCAGCCTGGGCATCAGAGTGACACTGTCTTAAAAAAAAAAAAAGTAAAAAAGTAAAAATGGGAATGTTTGTAACACAAAGAAATGGTAAATGCTGGAGGGGATGGATACCCCAGTTACCCTGATGTGATTGTTACAAATTGCATGCCTATGTCAAAGTATCTCATGTACTCTATAAATATATACATCTACTATGTACTGGTAAATTCATGTACCCCATAAATATATACATCTACTATGTACTGGTAAATTCATGTATATATAAATATATACACCTACTATGTGCCCGTAAAAAACTTAAAAAATAAAACAAAATAAATAAAAATCAAGTCGGTAAATAAAATTTCTTAAACATTTTGTTTTTTTTTTTTTTGAGATGGAGTCCCACTCTGCCTCTCAAGCTGGAGTGCAGTGGGGTGGTCTCAGCTCACTGCAACCTGCACCTCCTGGATTCCAGCGATTCTCCTGCCTAAGCCTCCTGAGTAGCTGGGATTACAGGCCCATGCCACCACACCCAGCTAGTTTTTGTATTTTTAGTAGAGACAGAGATTTACCATGTTGACCAGGCTGGTCTCAAACTCCTGACCTCAAGTGATTGGCCCACATCGGCCTCCCAAAGTACTGAGATTGTAGGTGTGAGCCACTGTGCCCAGCTGAAATACTTGTATTCAAACAGGCAAATTTTAACAAAGGGAGAATTGGAAACAGGCTAGTGTCTTTGTTTTATTGCATTTTTCTTTTTTTTTCTTTCCCAAGATGGAGTCTTGCACTGTCACCCAGGCTGGAGGACAGTGGTGCGATATCTGCTCACTGCAACCTCTGCCTCCTGAGTTCAAGCGATTCTCCTACCTCAGCCTCCTGAGTAGCTGGGACTACAGGTGCCTGCCACCAAATCTGGCTAATTTTTGTATTTTCAGTAGAGATAGGGCTTCACCATGTTGGCCAGGCTGGTCTCAAACTCGTGACCTTGTGATCCACCTGCCTCAGCCTCCCAAAGTCCTGGGATTACAGGCATGAGCCACCGCACCCAGTCCTTACTGCATTTTTCTTGCACTTATTTTTTAAATTATTTATTTATTTTTAATTGACAAAAATGGTATATGCTGTATCATGTAAAACATGATGTTTTGAAATTACATGTATATTTTAAAACATTGAACTAATTGGAACTAATTAACACATGCATTATCTCACATACTTATTCTTTGTAGTGAGAACACTTCAAATCTCAGTGATTTTCAAGAACACAGTGCACTGTTATTAACTATGGTCACCATGTTGTACAGGAGATCTCTGGAACTTACTCCTCTTGACGAACTGAAATTTTATGCCCTCTGACCAACATCTCCCCTATCCCCCACTCCAGCCTCTGGTCACCACCATTCTACTCTGTACTTTTATAAGTTTGGTTGTTTTAGACTCAGGTGTGTGAGATCATGAGATACTTGTTTTTCTGTGCCTGACTTACTTCACTTTACATGATGTCCTGTAGGCTCATTCATGTTGTCACAAATGACAGGATTTCCTTCTTTATTAAGGCTGAGTAGTATTCCTTTGTGTATACATACCACATTTTCTTTATCTATTTGTCTGCTATGAGACACTTGGGTTGATTTCATATCTTGGCTATCATAAATTGTTTTGCAATAACTTTGTCCATTTTAAAACTGGGCTTTTTTTTGTTATTGAGTTGTCTGAGTTCCTTATATATTTTGGATAGTAACCCCTTATCAGATGCATACTTTGCAAATATTTCCTCCCATTTTTTAGGTTGTCTCTTTACTCTCTTGATTGTTTTGTAGGCTGTGCAGAAGCTTTTTAGTTTGATGTAATCCCGTTAGTCTATTTTTGCTTTATTTCCTGTGCTATTGGGGTCATTGTCCAGGCCAATGTCATGGAACTGTTCCCCTATGTTTTCTTCTAGTAGTTTTACAGTTTCAGGTGTTATATTTCAGTCTTCAATCTTTTTCTCTCTTAGATGGCATCTCAGTCTGTCACCCAGGCTGGCAGGCAATGGTGCAACCTCAGCTCACTGTAACCTCCGTCTCCCAGGTTCAAGTGATTCTTCTGCCTCGGCCTCCTGAGTAGCTGGGGTTACATTGTGTGCCACCATGCCTGGCTAACTTTAATCTATTTTGAGTTAATTTTTGTGTATGGTTTGAGATAAGGGTCTAATTCATTCTTCAGCATGTACATTTCCACTTCAATACCATTTATTGAAGAAGCTGTCCTTTCTCCATTGTACATTCTTGGCATCTTTGCTGAAAATCAATTGACTGTGAATGCCTGGATTTATTTCTGGGCTCTTTATTCTGTTCTTTCTTCCACCTATTTTGTGATCTTCTATTTATGGCAAGAGAGAATGGTTTTCCATTTGTAACTGTCATGGCACGTGACAAACCATGGCACTGCAGGGAAGAGGAGGGCTGATGTTTTTGAAATGGGATAGTTTGAGCCGGCAGAGTGAACAATTTCCAGACTTAAAGTGGGGAGCTGGACCTCAGAGGAGGAATCCTGAGACTGGGGTCGAGAGGCTGCTTATGCAACCCCAGAAGATGCCACCAGAGGGCAGTGGGGAGCTGGGAGAACCAGGAAGACTGAGACAGATGGAGACAGTCCCAGAGTCTGAGAGACACTCAGAGAGAGATGAGCACTGACATCAAAAGAGACAGAGATATAGAGAGATAAACAGAGACAGAGATGGGGAGTCAGGAGACAGAGGGACAGGGAGACACAGAATCAGATATGCCAGAAAGCTAAATTAAGAGATGAGACAGAGACAGAGAAAGGCAAAGAGATGGAGAGAGACAGATATGGAAAAAGAAGAAAAGAGGCCAGGCACCGCGGCTCAGGCCAGTAATCCCAGCACTTTGGGAGGCTGAAGTGGGTGGATCACTTGCGGTCAGGAGTTCAAGACCAGCCTGGCCAAAATGGAGAAACCCTGTCTCTACTGAAAACACAAAATTAGCTGGGTGTGGTGGTGCACGTTTCTAATCCCAGCTGCTTGGGAGGCTGAGGCAGGAGAATCACTTGAACCCGGTAGGCAGAGGTTGCAGTGAGCCAAGATCGCACCACTGCACTCTAACCTGGGCCACAGAGCAAGACTATAAAAAAGAGAGAGAGAGATGCTTGGATAGCTTGAATAGAGACCAAGATAGATGAAAGCAACTGACTTTAAAGACAGGAATGTAAATTTTCCTTTTGTAACTGTCATGGCACGTGACAGTTACAAAAATGTAAATAAATGTACATTTATTTATATTTTTTGTCTTCTTTTTTCTTTTACTTTAAAATAACTCAGTCTCCATAGAGACTGTCAAAAATTGCCAGTGCCAACTATATTTCAAGTCATCATGGAGGGGTATTGGGGAAATGTTTTCAATTAGCAGTAATGGTGCCTCAGATAAACCTAATTGGCTACGATACTGCCACTGCACAAAGCTTCATTTATATATATATATATATATATATATATATATATATATATATATTTTTTTTTTTTTTTATGAGACGGAGTTTCGCTCTTGTTACTCAGGCTGGAGTGCAATGGCTCGATCTCGGCTCACCACAATCTCCGCCTCCTGGGTTCAGGCAATTCTCCTGCCTCAGCCTCCCGAGCAGCTGGGATTACAGGCACGCACCACCGTGCCCAGCTAATTTTTTGTAATTTTAGTAGAGACGGGGTTTCACCATGTTGACCAAGATGGTCTCGATCTGTTGACCTCGTGATCCACCCGCCTCGGCCTCCCAAAGTGCTGGGATTACAGGCTTGAGCCACCGCGCCCGGCCTTATTTATATTTTAAAAGTGATTTTAGGCAGGGTGCAGTGGCTCACGCCTGTAATGCCAGAACTTTGGGAGGCCAAGGTGGGAGGATCACCTGAGATCAGGAGTTCAAGACCAGTCTGGCCAACATGGTGAAACCCCGTCTCTACTAAAAAAATACAAAAATTAGACCAGGCACGGTGGCTCGTGCCTTTAATCCCAGCACTTTGGGAGGCCAAAGCAGGGGGAGGATTGCCTGAGCTCCAGAGTTCGCGACCAGCCTGGGCAACACGATGAAACCCGTCTCTACTAAAATGCGACAAATCAGGCGTGTGCGGCAACGTGCACCTGTAGTCCCAGCTACTCAGGACGCTGAGGCAGGAGAATTGCTTGAACCCGGGAGGGGGAAGGTTGCAGTGAGCTGAGATCACCCCACTGAACTCCAGCGACAGAACTGGAGTGCAGCGCAAGACTCCGTCTCAAAAAAAACGAAAAGCAAAACAAAAACAACAAAATTAGCCTGGAGTGGTGGCGGGCGCCTGTAATCCCAGCTACTAGGGAGGCGGAGGTAGGAGAATCCCTTGAACTCAGGAGGCAGAGATTGCAATGAGCTGAGATCTTGCCACTGCACTCCAGCCTGGGCAACAAGAGGAAAACTCCGTCCTCCAAAAAGTAATTAATTAATTAATTAAAAGTGATTTTGAAAAGAAAAATAAGTACATAGCAGAGTTTGGTACTTGGTGAGAATCATGGAAGTGGTCCTCAAACGTCTGGAATTTGGCAGTCACCTTTAAGTCTAAGCTTCTTAGTCAAGATACCAACCAGCCCTCAGGGCTTAAGCCTTGGCCCTGGTCCCTTGTCCTCTCTTTACCTCCGCCCAGTCTCTGACACCGCCTAGCGCCGACCCTAACCAATCCCTGTCTTCACCTCGTTCCTGACCCTACCCAATCCCTGTCCTCACCAAGCCCCTGTCCCGGCCCAGCCCTTGACCTCACCCAATCCCTGTCTTCACCTAGTCTCTGACTCCACCTAACCCCTGACCCCAACCAACCCCTGTCTTCACGTAGCCCTGACCCCGCCCAGTCGCTGACCCCACCCAATCCCTATCCTCATCTAGCCCCTAATTCCACCCGTTCCTGATCTCGAGGTCCCTACACATCTGGTGTTTCTAGCTTCTCTGCGTTGGTGTGTGTAATGTTCTTGGCTTGGAATTCTCATTTCCCCAGCAGCAATTCCCCCATAATGTCTACTCCTATTTATTGTAAAAACCCAGCTCAGATACCTCCTCGGGCAGCCTTCCCTGACCACCCTCTCACCCTCAGTTAGTGGTTTCCTCCTCTGTGTTATTTCGTATTTGCAAACCTGCAGGCTGCCCTTGCCATTCTGTTCTGTATTTATTTTTTTTTATTTGTTCACACAAATTTGTGAGCAACTTGAAGGCAGTGACTATCTTATTCGTGTCTTATCCCTCAGTGCCCAGCATAGGGTCAGACACAATGATTGATTTAAGAAGTGATTTGATTTTAATCAGACTTTGTCCAAAGTATCGATTAATATCTTCTAAATTAGGCCAGCAAGCTACAGCTGGAGGGACAAATCTGGCCCTCTGTCTCTTCTTGTGAATAAAGTTTTATTGAGATTAAGCCACATTCATTTTTACATATCTGTCACTGTGTTCACGGATAGTTGAGTAGTTACAACAGACACCATATGACCCACAAAGCCTAAAATATTTACCATGCAAACCTTTACGGTAGATGCTTACCTATACCTGTTCTGAAGGACGACAGGGGCCAGGTGTGGTGGCTCACACCTGTGATCCCAACACTTTGGGAAACTGAGGCAGGGAGGATCACTTGAGCCTAGGAGTTTAAGACCAGCCTGCACAACACAGCAAGACGATCTCTACAAAATATTTAAAAAGTTAGTCAGGCTTGGTGGCACATGCCTTTAGTCCCAGCTACTCAGGAGGCTGAGGTGGGAGGAGTACTTGAGCCTGAGAGGTCAAGACTGCAGTGAGCCATGACTGCCCCACTGCACTCCAACCTGGGACAGATTGAGACTCGGAAAAAAAAAAAAAAAAGAATAAAGGCCAAATCTGTTTGGAGTTGGGGGAGGTGGGAGAGTGGGGGGCCTCTGGGTATGTGGTGGGGTATCGAGGTGGGAAGAGGACTGAAAAGCTACTGGGTGGCTTCCTGGGGGGTCTAGGCTTACAACACACACCTGCTGTGTGGCCCAGGCTGGGAACTCTGGGCAGGTGCACAGTACACAGATGACTTCTTCCTCCCTGCAGGGATAACCGAGATGCTCAGCATGCCCTGGAGAGGGACCTGGAGGACAAAAGCTCAGCCCAGTTCATCGACGAGAAGTGCTTTAACCTGAGAAATACATCAGACTGCATCAGCTTCTTCCACGGCATGGAGAAAATTGATGGCACGTAAGTATCGGACTCCTCCTCCCCATCCCATGCATGTCACACTGGAGTGAGGGCTTCTGCTCATGCCAATGAATGGCGAAGGGGCATCATGTACTAGTTAAGTGAGAAGTGGTGTGGTTGAACGGGGGTCCTCTAGTGCAGGCGGCAGAATCCAAGTTGGGTTAACTAAAGACAACATGGAATTTACCGGAGGGCTCTTAGGGAGCCACCATCTCAAGGAGAAGGCTGGAGGGAAAGGTTCTGGCAGTGGGAGCTGTGTGGTCTGGATGCCTTGATCTTTCCATCCTTGCCCCACTGTTCAAGATCCAAATTTCAGGAAGAAGGAGCATGCCATTGGCTTAGTGAGAGTTGCACAGCCACTGCTGCTCAGCAGTTTCACCAAAAAAAATTCCAAAACAAGCAATGAGCTCAGCAGGGAGGCCAGCTGGTGCCAGTGGTGGTTTAAGAATGAATTCTTGCCCCTTGGGAGGCCGAGGCAGGAGGATCGCTTGAGGCCAGGAGTTCCAGGAGGTCCAGACCAGCCAAAGAGAGACACGGAGTGGGATCTGGAGCCAGGCTGCCTGACTTCTAATCCCAGCCTCTACACTAACACTGAGCAAGCGACTTCATTTCTTTGGACCATTTCTGAACCTATACCACTGGAAGAAAAATAGTACCCACTTCCCAGGGCTGCTGTGAGTCTGAAAAGGGTATGTGTGTGAAGTTTCAAGCGCAGAGCCTACTATAGAATAGTAACAGCCAACATTTATCAAGTGCTTACTGTGTGTCCTCATTTTCTCATCACAACAGCTATGAGGCGGTACCTTCTGTGAGCCTGTCACGATCGTGGGCATGTCACAGCATTGTGGGATTTTATGCAGAATGCAAACATGCTTCCTAGTTGGTATTCTGAGGTCTGAGAGATGCTGAGGATGAGGAAGAGGTTGAGGTCTATCTTGGTTTCTCTTTCTTCCGTTAAAAAAAAAAATCCCTAGCACCTACAATTGTGCTTGGCACATGTTGGTTTGCAATACATTTTTGTTGAAAGAAAGAATGAGTGAAAAGAGAAAGTCAGGGAAAGAAGCAGCACAGGAAGGGAGGAAGGGGAGAGAGAAGGAGGGTGTTCCTCGGCAGTCTCCTTGGCTCAATCCTGGCCTCACTTTCTGGATCTTAACAAATGTCTAGGTGCGGAGGTGACCCTTTGGGACTTCTGGTAATGACAACTCTTGGGAACTTTCCTCCTCTTCCTGACAAGGTGCTCTTCCCCCATGGCCCTGGCAAAGTGAGCAAGACTTAGGGGGCTTGGCCCCCCTCATCTGCGCAGGGAATCCAGAGGGTCTGTCTTCCAAAATAGATTCCTCTCCAGAGACCTGGCAGCCCTGGAGCCTCCAATTTCCATACCCAGGAGAGGACTGCTATTTAAAGTACCCCATCTAGAGACTCCATCTGGAAGGGAGAGCTGCTGTTTGTGATGACTGATTGCTGCCCAGATGTGCTAGCTTCGGGCTCTGTATTTGGGCTCCCCTCCCCTCCCCTCGCCTCCCCTCGCCTCCCCTCCCCTCCCCTCCCCTCCTCTCCCCTCCCCTCCCCTCCCCTCCTCTCCTCTCCTCCCCTGTCCTCTCCTCTCTTCTCTTCTCTTTCTTTTTTTGATAGAGTCTTGCTCAGTAGCCAGGCTGGAGTGCGGTGACAAGATCTCGGCTCACTGCAATCTCCATCTCCCTGGTTCAAGCCATTATTCTGCCTCAGCCTCCAAGTAGCTGGGATTACAGGCATGCACCACCACGCCCAGCTAATTTTTGTATTTTTAGTTGAGATGGGGTTTCACCGTGTTTCCAGGATGGTCTTGATCTCCTGACCTTGTGATCCACCCACCTTGGCCTCCCAAAGTGCTGGGATTACAGGCGTGAGCCACCGTGCCCAGCCCATATTTGGGATTTTCTTAAAGCAGGGCTATATCTGGGTGGATTAAAGAGGACATTTGGTGGCTGCGAACTGCAGTATCTCTATTCACTGTAGTTCTTGTTACCATGGATTAATGATGATGACGATTATGATGGCAGTAGACACCTTTTACCCGCTGTTTGCTATGTGTTAGACATCATGCTGAAAGCTTCATATGCAACATCTCGTGAATAATAAATATTTTTCGGGCGCATACTCTGCCCAGTGCCATGATAAGGGCTTCACATTTAAACCCTCAGCAACCCTGAGGGTTGGTATCATTATCCCCATTTTACAATGAGGAAACTCAAGGTCAGAGAGG